AAGATCCTACGACACATACAGGTTTAAAAGAACCCCTGGTCAAACAATTATTGATGAAAGAGCAAAATTGACCAATAATTGAGGCATTGACCGATAATTGAAGCATATGTTCGATTCAATACAAGATGGTCTCATGAAAGAACTGATTCGTTCTATAAATACTAAAGGCCAGCCTATCACACCTCAGATGATACAAGAACCTAAGGAGGAACCTGTCACACCAGCCAAACTGGGCACTTCTAAGAAACCCAATTCTTGGAAAAGTTTAAAGGGTTTACCCTCAACATCTATCCTTACTGGAAAACGCTTGTTACCTTCCACACCTCTACAACCCTCTACTTCAAGAAAAAGAAGATGGCAACCCCTTTAAAGTCACCCACTCCCATGAAGAAAAAGCGAAAGATGGAAACGGAACAGTTAAAAGCTTTTAGTAACTGGGAGACTTGGGAAAAACGAGGTTGGGATTCTTACCAAGCATTTCAAGACAATGAAATGCCCAAAACGAGCAAGGGAAAATGCAGGGGGAAGAACTGTAAAGAGTAGAAGATGGCAAACAGGAGGCACCTTTGATATACAGAAATGAATCTCCAAGATGGGTGTGAAGTTTCATTGGCTAGGGTATCAATACAAGGGGCCCGGTACCAAATTAACCAAATGGTTGAAACGCAGAGATCCTGAGATTAGTATACTCGATAACTTAGCTAAACAGCATGATATCGATTATAGTAAAAAATCTGGCTGACAAACACGTTGCAGATCATAAGATGATTGCCGATATTGATAGATTTACAGGTAGAAAAACCATGACATAACGTATTGTCAAACGTATCATGCAAGCTAAACTCAAGCTAAATTGTAATTTCAGTAAGTATTTAATGCAATAAAAGTTGTGAAACTGCCATCATTTGGAGTTGTGTCGTTGCTTGAAAACATGTCAAGTTTTTACCTTACCTTACCTTACCAAAAGTCTCTACGTCTATTCCTCTTTGGGAGCACCTGTGGTCATGGGGACCCAAAAGATTTGATACCACACGCCCTTATCAACCCAAGTCGGGTGGAAGTTTTTTCTATGCACCACCCCAAATTCATTGTTTAGACTTACGCAACAATCATTTAGATGTGGTGGAAACTCAAATGAGCGAGTCTGACACAAACAAGTTGACTCGGTTTGATGACAGCGCTTCCACAGTAACACTTCATTTTTGCAGAGTACGATCACGAGTGATTTTTACTTGACGTTACCTAGCAATGATGGAAGTATCAAGTATTTTCCAAACTACAAAAACAATTAATGGAAAAATAGATTGGAGAAACGTATGGATTTGGAAGATGAATGTGAAGTAGGCTTAAGCAGCATCTCTTTACCTCACGAGTTGCTTTTACTACCTTACCTGGAAGCACTCTCAGATGATGCTTTTATGATGAGAACAAAACAAGTCGTGTACAGTACAACCAGTAAAACAATTGACACCTTGACCATGGATGTGTATTATCGGGATATAAAAAACTGGCGTATGGAAACTGCCTACCAAGCATTTACCTGGAAAAGAACAAATGCAATTTGAAGTCACCTACAATGATGCACATGAAATGGTCACTGTGTCTACTGATACCATTGATGCTACAAAGGTTCCCCATGCTACCATGCGAGATTCTGTACAAGTGTTTATAGTTGGGCGGAAGATGTGACGTATTCCTCGGTAAATACAGTCAAAAATGGCCCGAACCTTGTGACAAAAAAACAGGGAACTAAATACTCAGAAGCTATAGATAGTGCCCTATTCTATTGTAGAAGATGGCAACTCAGTCGATGGACATTAACGGTGGATTCTACTCCTGTTCCTGGTGTAATATTCTGGATGCATGAATTAAACTGGATCTTTATCAATACAAAATGGTGCACCAACAAGAATGGTAGTGTGCCTCGCATACTCTATTTCTATTCCTCCATATGCGATCCTGTACGCATGGGGGATCAGATGACTGATTTGTTTTGTCAAATTCATCACCAGTCTACGTTAGCGGGGCAAGATTACCAAGAACCGTGTCAAATTCACTACATTCAATTACATAACAATCACATTGATGACGTGGAAACCCAGATAAGTGAATCGGAAAACAACTCACTAGCACTGTTTGCTACAGACAGCCCTAGTATTCTAACACTCCATCTTCACAGAGTACAATCATAAGTGACACAGAAAAAGTAGGAGTGGCCAAAGGCCACCCTTCTGGAACAACACCAGGACAGGACAGGAGGAGAGGCCCAAAAGAGAGGAGAGGCCCAGAAGAAAGGGGGAGGAGGACTAGGATGATAGGATGATCCAAGAAGTACAGAGTATGATAAAAGAGATGGATTAAAGAACTCAATTTCTTAAAAAATGGAAGGATAATTTAACGTGAGAGTTCAAGTGTTGAAGTGGTCTATGTCAATTGTGTTTAAGACGTCGAGGAGAGGTGATGTTAGCCAAATGGAGATGCTTTTACAGATGAGTCAAACAGATCTATTTTCTGGATGAAGCGACATTGATGTTTGAGGGGATTCAGGCATTACACACACTCTCTCACAAAAAAACCAGGTAAAATAGTTAAGAAAACTGTCACTTAAATGAAAATGAAAAAATGGTTTTCTTTTTAAAACAGCAGCATGCTCATATTTCTTAGATCAGTCTCTTCCATGCTTTCAAATCCGTAGGGGTAGGATTTGAACAAGTAGGTCTCGTCTAAAGCTCTTTTATCAAACACCAGGCCATACGTTTTGACTTGAGTTTCCATCCTTATCCATTTGGTTTTCACATCCCTGATAAATTTAGGTTGAGCCACCATCGTGTTTCTTCGTTCTTCTAAAGGGTTTCTGATTTTGTTCAGAATGTTTTGTTTCATGACTTGAAAGTTTAACTGTTCCCTGCCCTCTCACGTTCATTGAGAATCCTTTTACTTTGCATTCTACCTTGCCCTTCTTGGTTGTGTAGTCATAATTCTTGGCTCCCGCTGAAATAAATTCTACAATATAGTCGTCTTCATCCAACTCCTTTGTCATTTGCCCAGATAGTCTCCTAATTCAATTTCTACTAGACTGGGTTTCCAGGAATGGATGAAAGAGTCTGTATCATAGTTCAAGACTATGTCATCTAATTTCTCAAGGGATTCATCAAGCTTGAATGGTGCTTGGCAGGTTGTAAAGGGTGCTACAAAGATGTTGTTTTTAACCCTTTGGCAGCGTCTTCATCTATTTTCCTGTACGCCACTTCGACCACTTCTGAATTGAGGAATCCTATGTTGCTGATCTCTACTGTCTTATTATGGACCAGATTTAATAACTGGTAGGCTTTGGTGTACTTTTGCAGTTACAATTTGTTAACTTGCTCCCCAAACTTTCCTCAGCATCAATTTGGCGGTTACCTCTCTCCCTTGATTCTTTTCGATCTTTTCCATATCCAATGCAATACCTTCTTGCTCGTTATACAATCTCACATACTCTCATTTCTTTTCATCTGTATCTGCCCACCTCAGATACAGTCAGTCAGCTACTTTCTTGCTTCAACTTTAACCATGTGTTTACATATCCTTCAAATAATCCCGTTTGTGATTCTGGAAAATGCCACACCTCATGTATACGTATGAGCTGATAGCCCATAGCCAACACCTTCATGATTTCTGGTACCAGTGAGCATTCTTTCTTCATCGCTATGATGACAGTATTAAAATCGTTCTGTACAATCCTCGCCATAAAAATCAAAGAATGGATCACTGTTTTCAGTAGTTTGCATGCATATCGAGATAGGGTGATGATGACCCAATTCACCCACTATCGCTTCAAAATCCGCATAGATGAATTAAGTATGCTCTTCATAGGTAGACACCACATGATTTGGAGGGAATTTCTGCAGGTTTTTCTTTTAGAATTCTAGATGCCTTTTATATATATTATATATTTTATAGATGTTTTTCTTTTTCTTTTTAGGCATGTCTTCTTCACTGATGGGTTGAATGTAACATTGGTGTTTAGTAAGATCGACGGTTTCTTTTCATGAAGGGCATTTCGCATGGTAGCATTCATGTGGGGTGGAGGACACTTCTACCTGCTTGAAACACAGGGCATATCTGAAGTTTGTTACAGACATCGTTATCTATATGATGCTTGTGACATGCTCTGTTGTAGAATTTCCTGTAACAATTCAAACAGGGTAGCTCGGGATAAAGATTCTTTGCTTTTGGGCAAATTTACCAAAAGGGACGCCGGTATCTTTACGAAGATTTTGGGCCAACTGTTTGAGATACCTGTCTTGATATTTTCTACAGTTTGCCAGATGATTCCGTTCTTCTTTACCGTCATCCTTGTGTATCCAGGCCTATGTGTAGATGATGGCCATAGCCAAGCAGAAGTCGTCTTTGTAATTTTGTACATGTAAGACCAAAACTCTTTTTTCTAGCACTTCTGAAATACACAATCTGCCCAACCAATTTTTGTATTTACCTCCTTTGGGGGTGTGGCAATTGTCACCAGATCTACCGTGAATGTCGTGTTGACTGCTAAACTTTCGCCAGAGTATAGATCAGCCCAAGGCATCTGTCTGTTCTTCAGCTAAATTATCGTGACAATCTGGATCACGAGTTTGTGTGAGTTTCGCTTGGTAACGTTGTTGTTTAGTCACGTTCTTTTTCCATTTAGCCAAGGGTCCTGCTTTTTGAAATTGAAATTCAAATAATGGATGGTGACCACTGCCATTTTGTTGCCTGATTTCTAAAGCCTCTTCTTGGTATCAGTCTAATTCATTCCCCAAGGAACATAATTCCGAATTGGTGACGTAATCATCCTCTTCTCGATCCAAAGCGTACACAAAAGGCTATTAATAATTCGTCCTCCAATCCTCTGTATCTTCATATTTTTGTTTCTTTGACATTCTCTCTCTCTCTCACACTCTCTACTAATACAAATGATGCGAGAGTGCGCCTTGTATATATAACATGGTGACTATGAGTCAGCAAAAATGTTTAAACTCAGCATTCAAAAAATGTATGACTCAGCATTCCAGGATTAAACGTGGAAGAGGATGGTGAAGCATACGAATGTTTTATCTGCTTAGAACCGATTTCAATAAACTTCCATAATGTGACAGTGCTGTTGGAGACGTATCCACTGAGCATGTTATTAAAGCCATGTGAGAACTGCAACCACATGTGGTACCTGCAGCCAACCGTTACGAGTACAAAATGCTGAAGAAGGACCAGAGGTTGAAGTGAATAGAATGGAGGTCGATGGAGTGGACGAGGAAGGTGCTGTGGATGGGGAGCACTTGAAAGAAATGCAACACAAACAAGCGATTGCAGATTTAGAGGCCCTCTTACAGCTGGGCACCTTGGAAAACAGAATTCTAGACGTAAGTCTGATGTTTTTCTTTGTTATTCATACCTCATTCATACACCACACTAAAAGAAACTTTTTTTCTATTCATTTTTAGATGGGAGATGTATTTAAGGCACCCTGTTTCATTTATTTCATGATTCTATGAGTTTTTATTTTAACCCAAAGTTATGTTCTGCATGAAAGAAGTACTTTTATTTTATACGCCTTAGGAAGTGTCTCACAGAGTCTAAGATTGTATTTAGTTAGACATACACGTTTTGCGATTCGTGTCGCCTTTAATCATGCATTTAGTCTTAGTTTTGAACAAGCACATCGTTTATACCCGCACACGTTTTTTTACCAATTGTTTTTTAATGTTGTTATTGTAAACAGTGTATTACGCCATAGAATAGGTATCTACACTACACCCCACTCAAGAGAACTTGCTAGACATTGTAATTTATTTATGGACCTCCGTTTATTTTCATTTTAGATATCCGAAGAATCCATTTCTTCTTTACTAGTTCAATTTCCTATCATTTGGATCACCACACACCATATACTACATGCCTTAAGATTAGCACTCAACCGCCCACTACCCTATTGTTATTTTAGAATCAAAGTCTGTTTTGCCGATGCTTTTTCGGTAAGATTACGTTTACGCAAATCTGAATGCCAGTTGTTTTACATTCCAAGACAGTTGTGGAATCATTAGTTACATGTACATATTGTACCTGCGTTTATGTTACCATTTTTAGAATTTCCTGACACTCTTCATAGAACTCCTATGCACTTAATTAGAGAATTTGTAAGCTCAAATTATTTTAATGTACAATTATATGGTGTTTCTCGTTCATAGAGAGACGCGAGTTACAGATACCCTCTACTAATTTTTTCATCACTTAAAATTTGAATTGCGCTTTTTAGATCTTAGTGATTTCTTAGTTGTGTATATTGAAGATGTAGATTTCTTACATACAGTCTTAAGTATTTATAATATTTCTACTATTACCACTTGTTTTATTCATTTAAACGAGGTTCCGTGATTTCAATGGACAGTCACGATGTATTCAGATCAAAACCGCGAAATTCGTTTTTTCAAATGCTAATTTTTTTTTCTCCTTTATTGATATGGTGCTTCTCTTTCATAGAGAGATGCTGGTCTCGCAGACGCCATCTACCAGTTTTTAGTGAACTTAAATTTAAATTAAGAATGCTAGATCGTAGAAATTTAGCTATTTATTTTGAAGGTAGTTTGTCTTAAAATAGAGTCTTATCCGTGTTGGATATTTCTGTGATTGCTCATTGTTTAGTAATGTCAATTTAAATCGGCTACCAGGGTTTCATTGGACAACTGTTATGTGGTTTGATAATAACCACGAGATTTGTTTTTTTTACATTATAGATGTGTTTCCCTGCAGATGATATTCAAGAGTTTTTCCTTTACTTATACGCGTTTTTATATATGGAGCCTGATTGTGGGATTACTGTTTTATTTAACCAATTCGCTTTTTTCTCTGGAGAGATTAACATGGATTGGATCCAATGCGAATGGACAATTATATAATTCTGTCTTTCCCTCAGTTTCAATTCCTCAATTTGGCGATTCTTTTCCTTATAAGATTGTGCATGCTGTTTCTCCAACATCCATATCTTGTGTTTTAATCGGGTGATTTGCTTGTGAACACAGGATCCTCCCATCTCGTACAAATTGTAACAACACCCTATACAAATTACGAATGGCACGCCATTTGGTTTTGTTGCTGCGTTGAGACATATAGATTACTCCCACAGAGAGAAGGACGCCAGGTCAAGTTTGAGTTGTTGACTATACCTTCTTTCAAATTCAAGTCTTTTGTAAGTCTTTGTATACACCTCTGTTACGTGTTCCTTTTCCCTCTTTTAGTCATATAGGAATTGAAGTTGATGATGACACTCTCATTCAAATTGAAGTCTTTTTTTTTAAGTCTTCGTATTTGTCTACGTAGTGCTTTCCTGTTCCCCCTTTTCGACATCCGTACGTGATACCATTCCTCTGTGATCTGACAGTAGAAAAGGTCTCGTCTGTTTTTACTTTGAAGCTCATACCAACGAGGTGAATATTTTACATGTCATAGCCTCTATCTCACCCATCAATTGAGGTAGAGTTTTCTCACAACGTCTCCACGTGTCGTAGGTTTTCATGACATCCTCAAAAGGATACCCATTTTCTTGAATCCTCTGCCCCAATTGGACGTAATCAAACCAATGAGTTGTTTATGTGCTCCCACGGGGGATGCATAATGTTTCACTTTCTCCTGAAAAGATTCACTAATGAGTTCTCCTCAAAACCACTCATACTTTTCACAGCTTCTAGGATCCCCATAATACCATTTAGGTAACACGTCTGCATGTTTAAAGACTGCACATGACATGTTTAAAAACATCAAGATGTCATCGAAATCTTGAACGCATGCGATGATGCGATACCTCAATTCTTCAATAGGACTTTCTTTAAATCCTAAAATCTGATGTAATATCTGATGTAATAAGACCTGTGCGCGACCTGTCTTATTATTACCATCCATATTAAATTTGTATTTGCGGTGTGGGCAGTCATAAATACGTTTACACAACTCTATCATGCTCTCTGTATCTTCATAGCAAGCCATCGTGACTCAAAAACGAGACTAGAACTTGGTATCACACATTTTTATTTACAAGAATGTCACATGGTTGACCCTCTGGTCTAGTAAATTCTTCACACTCGTCACAGTCACATGGCAGTTTATTCAGTTCTCTTTGTTCTAAAAGCTTAATGAAATCCACAAGAGCCTCAAACACACGGTTTCTCTTTTCCACATATTCTGGTTCATCCTCTTCCTCCTCACAGGTCGTGGGTTAACATACGTCTATAGGCATCTTCATCCGCATGTACCTCGATCAGATCTAAAATTTCATCAATATGCTGGAGCGCCCATTTTGGATTACTTTCGATATCACACACGATCCACTTGACACAAACGGTGGTTTGTACTACACTCACAGCATTTGAAACAGTGGTACATACACTCTGCGACCGCTGACCTACTTGTAGGTAGTAAAGTTTCTAAAATTATACATCATAGCATCATTTTCTTTTTTTAAACTGAATGTACCTGATAAAATCCACATGGGATTCCAAGATATGTGTTTTCTTTTCAAACGGTAACGCTACCATGGGTTCATGTATGTTTTGTAACATGTGATCCAAAGCCTCTTGATCTGCTTCGTGTTCAATGATTTCTATCATTTCAAAAATATGAGCTAAAGCCCATTTTGAATGCCTCTCCACATCACACATGTTGACTATGATGACACCTGGGACACTCTTTGATTTCTTTGATCACCTGTAGCTGATGGTGGCATCTATGACACTGAAATCACTTCAACGGTAGTTGTTTACGCTCATATGTTAGAGATTTGACTAATCTACACAACAAGCCTCAGAACGAAATGCATGTAAGTTTCCGTAAATCCTCAAACCAAGCTGTTAGTCAATGAAATGTAGACTTCTATTGTTCTTTGTCCGAGGATGTTATATAATTGAAATTGTTACTGTTTATAGCTTAAATACATCGTTTGACAAGAAAGACATGTAAGTTTGTGTAAATCTGACTTGCATAGTACCATATAGAAAGTTATTGTTGGCTTCATTTTTGTTCTGTATTGTTAAATAATAATAATAATAATAATAATAATAGTCCCTTGCTTGGTCTTCTTCAGTCTTGGATCCACAAGGGCCGTTTTCCAATCAGATGGAAAGTGTCCCAAGGAAAGTGAAGAATTCACGACATTAGTGATGATGGGGAGAAGCATATTGGACATGCCGACTACTAAATTGGTTGGCATAGGATCAAGTTGACAGCTTTTCTTCGATGATTTACTGACCAGCTTCCTTATATCTTCCACAGAATACGTATTGAAATGATCAAGTTTCCTATCGCCTGTAAACACTCTATCCTCAGCCACCGCCCCAGGATGAAGAGTACACGCATCAAGCTCTGCCCGAATCTTTGCAATCTTACGGTCGAAAAACCGCCCGATATCGTTGGCTAAGATTGAGTTGTCCGTGTATTCTGGAAAACACAACTAATTCCTAGGAAGTAACAATGATCGAGTGGCCCTGAATAGCTTTCCTTGGTTTTCACTATTGTCGTTCACAAAGTCTGAGTAGAAAGCATGCTTAGCCCGTGTACTTAAATAAGTAACGTGGTTCTTGAGTTTCTTGAATGCCAACAAATCTTCCTGTGATCGTGTTCTTCTCCATCTCCGTTCTGCTTTCCGGCATCGCCTTTTTGCCTCAGCTATCTCACTGGTATACCAGGGTACCTTGGGCCTAGCCCGCACAGTTTTGGTTTTTAAAGGTGCGTGACGATCAAGAACTTGAGAGAGTGTGGTCGTGTAATCCTCTACAAGTACATCTAAATCCAGTGGGGTGATGGGATTGCTATTACCTCGATCACATAGCCCTGTAAGTACTACATCGTTCGATAGGCTCTCAGCGTCCAAGAATTTAGTTTTCCTAAACTTTATTATCCTAGTCTGAAATGACGGCTTACTTATGGCAACATGACAATGTACAGCTGCATGATCGGAGAAATAGCGACAGGCGCGTGGTGGACTTGCCAGAATATCCTCAATCTTTCTTGTTATAACAAGATCCAGGGTGTGACCACATATGTGCGTTGGCTCTGTCACATGCTGCTCCAAACCGAGAGACTCAAGCAGATCTAAAAACTTAAGTGCATCAGTGTCATTAGGAACATCCACATGTATGTTGTAATCACCAACGACAATCAAAGGCTCTTTGGATAGAATAGTGGACTCCATCAGGTCAGAAAACTCCATCAGAAAAGTGTTAATGGGAACCCTGCGGTGGTCATCACAATTCTGTGGTGTTGTTTTGTTGCTATATTATTCAATTTTCCAAATAATTTCTAAAAGGGAAGAAAACGATTATCATTACTACATCTAGTCATAGACAGTTAACCAAGGGAGAGGATTTTTTATGTAGTGAGACAGTGTTCCCCACAAAAAAAAAAATTCAGGAGGTAAATAGTCTTTAAAACTAGAGGAAAGTGAAGCAAAAGCTACAGCAAAGGCAAATGTGACCTTTTTTTACTTAAAAAACTGTGACAATCATTTTATGACTGTTTTGAAACCTCATCTTATTTCTGTTGTTAGTATGCATATGTTTTACTAAAAGCTCCAAGTTTAAGTTCCCTGGGTAATTCTTTTAAGGTTTCAAATAATCAACTTGTCATTTCAGGGTACTTCAAGTGCTATTGGAAGCACATGACAAAAATTGAAAAGTTTTCTGCAATTTATTAAAGAATTGATACATAACACAAGGCAGTTCTAAGGAGCCTTTGATCAAGAATAATGATCAGTTTTGTGCAAAAATATCGGACAAGTTTTTGGCACTTATTTTAATTTGAGTTAGGCAGGCAGTGATCATACTTCTTCATTTCATACATTTTCCTCTACATATTAAAAGCTATAATCATGAAACAAATTTTCAACAAAGAAAATTTGATTGCTTTTAGAGAAAGAATTTGAAGCTGATGAATAGGAATTAAATCTAATGCTTTGAGTTTTCAGAAGTAGAAATCAATGTAATGCTCATCATAAATCATTTCAGTGTTGGTAAATGTACTCAGAAAAAGGAAGGCAAGCCTAAACCCTAAGAAGCAGGCTTGTTATTATTGTGGCAAATTATTTTCTAAAATTGCAAGACATTATGAGCATGAACACTGGTCCAAAAGGGAAGTAGCCATGGCAGTCTCCCTTGATAAAGGATCTCCCACAAGAAAAAAATCCCTTGGGAAACTAAGGTTATTGGGTAACTATCAGTACAAGTTGACTGTGTTAGAAACTGGAAGAGTGGAGCTCATTCTCAAGACACGTCTCGCCTCTGACGAAAAATGCATTCCTGGTGATTACCTACCATGCCAGTATTGCTTTAGCTGCATAAAGCAACAGGACTTATGGAAACACATCACAATTCGTGATTCTAAATGAGAAGGTTACAATTCCCCAAAACATCAGAGGATGCAAGCCAAGGCTAGGTCATTGTTGCCTAATCCTGCCACCTGTTCTAGTGACGCCAGCAGTATATTAAGGCGACTGTTCTTAACTATGAAAAGAGATGAAGTCTTCCTGGTTGCTCAAGACAATTGGCTCATCAAGGAAGTGGGGTTGATTTTGGTTGAACAGTATGGTGAAAAGCAACAGCACCTTACTGCTCAAAAAATGAGGGAACCTAATCCTGCCACCTGTTCTAGTGATGCCAGCAGTATACTAAGCTAACTGTTCTTAACTATGAAAAGAGATGAATTCTTCCTGGTTGATTAAGACAACTGGCTCATCAAGGAAGTGGGGTTGTTTTTGGTTGAACAGTATGGTGAAAAGCATCAGCACCTTACTGCTCAAAAAAAGAGGAAACCTAATCCTTCCACCTGTTCTAGTGACGCCAGCAGTATATTAAGCCGACTGTTCTTAACTATGAAAAGAGATGAAGTCTTTCTAGTTGTTCAAGACAACTGGCTCATCAAGGACGTGGGGTTGTTTTTGGTCGAACAGTATGGTGAAAAGCAACAGCACCTTACTTGCTCGGCTCCTTAAACAATTTTGTGCAGCAGATTTCAGTCCAAATGCCCAGCTTGGAGATTTCATCAAGCCAGCGAGGTTTGATGTTGTCATCAGTGCAGTGAAAAGCCTTTCAAAGTTTCAGTTTGAAGGTGTCCAGAGAGTTGCAACACCATCATTGTCTCTCAAGGTTGTTCTTTCTCTAAAAAGGTGTGTTTCTATTCTTCAGGGCAGAGCCTTTCACACAAAGGACAAAGATCTGCAAGAGCATGCTTACAATTTTGAAAAACTTTTAGATTCGGAATGGGGCCATTGTATTTCCTATCATTCTCTCAATACCATGGAAGAAAGCAAGTTTAATAAAATTGAAATATTATCTCTAGCAGAGGATCTTGAGAAACTACAAAGAAGCCTCCTTTCAAATATTTCTTCCAGCACACAAGTCCTTACAGAACCTCCGCTACAAGCATGGAGCCACCTTGCTTAAGCTACACTTGCAAGACTGGTTATTTTTATTAAAAGAAGGGACGGGGAGGTGTCAAAGATGCTTTCAGAAAGTTGTCTTCACAGACCAGACTGCAAGGAAGTAAATAACCCTGAAATTATGGCATCACTTAGTGGCTTTCAAAGAGAATTATCCAGATGGTGAGTGAGATTCTAGGTTAAAAGCCCACATATAAGGTTAATTAATAAATTAATCAATTAGTACTAATAGAGGCCTTGTCTTAAATAATGAAGGAAGGTTAGCCTCATTGTGCTGGAAATATCCATTCTCCCCCCACCCTCCCACAGTGGGTTTATTGGTTTGAACCCTCTATACATCATGGTAAATCCCGTCTAAGTAAACAGTTTCCTCAGTTTCAAAGTTTGGCCTTTAGACTGGCTCCCTTCTCCTTGAAATTTCAACAACCCATTACAGGGTAACACATTGCACATCTTGATGTCATGGTATCACAATTGCAACAAAGACAGTGGGAACATTTTAGGAAGTCTTTCAAATTGTTGAGCATAATGATGTGTTCTTTTGATGCTGATAATAAGTTTTTGGGCCATTCCAAAGAACACATTCTCTATTTTATTTATTTTTTTTGAATACCAAAGAAGGCATTTTAATTTAAATTTGTAAAATATTGTTTGAGCAAATGAAATTTATGCCTTAATTGTCTTAATTTTAAAACGGATTAGATGTGGTTGAGATTCATGGTAAGAGGGGCAGAAAGGTACCGGTAATTTTGACACCAAAGGTGAAATATAGTATCAATCTCCTCATCAAGACAAGAAAAGCTGTGGGAGTTCCAGAGCAAAATCCACATATATTTGCCAGGCCAAATAGACAGTCACTTGACCACAGGAGAGCATGGGATTGCCTGCTGCAATTTGCTATGGAGGGTGACCCACCTCTGTCAAACCCCACAAATATAGGCAGTACCAAGCTCAGAGAGTGTATAGCAACCATTTCCCAAGTCCCCTCTCTAAATGAAACAGAGGTAGACTGGCTAGCAAGGCACCTTGGTGATGATATCCAAGTGCATGGGAACTTCTACCGTCTTCACAAATCAACTATTGAGATTGCTAATGTGAGCGAGCTACTTCTTACAATCGATCGAGGTGAAACAAGAAAGTTCGCCGGGAAAACAATGGCAGAAATTGAGTTAAATGACTGGTACAAGATTGTAGGTAATTTCAATTCCATAACTAATTTCCCTTGTTCTTATGTCTTTATTGTTCTTGGGAGCCACACACTAGCATTTTTGTTTTTAAAAATACTTTTAAGGTGCCAACTATTTTATAAAAGTGAGAGGAAACATCAGTTACTTACAATTGTGTTCCACAAAAAAGCAATCACCTCGCATGTAGTCTAAAATTCTTCATGCTTCATTCAGCCAACCTTATCCCACGGTACATCTGTCACTGTTTCAAAATGATGGCAATGTGTTTGTAAATTCCTGTGAAGGATTGTAGATGCCACATTTCAAGCATAATTTGCTTGTTCTAATACTTATATCCTTGAAGTATGCAGAGGATGGAAGATCAAGGAACCACACAAAAAAGGTTGATCGTGTCGTTTTTGAAACTGCATTTTTTCCCAAAATAACTAAAGCATGATACACTTACATTCCAGTGGGGACATGCAAATACACAACTAGTTAAAAGACTACTTGCCATACTTATGGCGAAATGCTAATTGTAATATGCAACTGTTTAAGGGGACTACTTGCCATACTTATGGGGACATGCCCATACACAACTATTTATGGAGACCAAATGTCATACTTATGGGGACATGCTAAAAAAGTACTTATGGGAACTTCTTATCAGAGCCATTATATTACAATTACTTAAACACAATACTGAATTAGTGAAAAATGTTTATTCATTTTTCTTCTAAATGTTTACATGTATTTATTAATAATAATAAAATTATTATTATTATATATTAAACAAATAAAATAAAAACATTTAAACCACATTACCCTTTTATTTCGCTGAATAAAGCATGTTTTGATCCTAAGCCCAGTTTAAAAACATGGTGGTAGATAAGATCAACTACTCTAGTTTGCAGCTGCTAATATTTGATCTATTACATCTACAATATTTGATAGTTGAATAGCTCCACTACAGTTTTCCACTTCAACAATGTTAAATTAAGATAAAATCTGCATTTTCATATTCTTTTCCAGAAATTGCAGGCCCAGATCTTTGAGATGTTAATAATTTTGGCAAGGCGGAAGAGGAAAGTGACAGGAATGGCAGTTAAAGAATTTCCTTAGGTTTGTGTATTCCCCATGCTGAACTAGAAAAAAATGAAAATAAAAGTCCCCTTCTTACAAAACAGAAAGAAATGAAATATTAAACATATATTTCAAAAAAACCATAAAGAAAATTTGCAGTTGAGCATTCAAAAGAATTGCTGGTTAAAATGCTTTATAACATAGCTATTAAATTTGTGTAATCAAATTCAATTGTGCGAGTGTGCTTCATAATCCTATTATGCATGCTCATGACATCAGCAAACTAATCCCTCAAGAAAAAAATTTTCCATAGGGTTAAAAAGGTTATAAAACAATTGGTTCATACCTCAGCTGTGTGTTCGTCGAGATATGAAGCACTTGGGAAGTTTGGAGAGCACTCAAGAAGCTAGAGTTGCTCTCAGCTATGCCTTGAGCAACTCTTACGCAGCTTTCGCGCTCTCCAAACTTCCGGCGTGCTTCATATCTCAATGAACGTACACTGACGTATGAACCAATTGTTAAATGTCTTAGTAATTTTGAACAAGATTAGTTTATTCTGCTATCACAAAAAGTGCATTGACCCTTTTTTTAACAGGCATGAAAGGCTATTTCCATCAGCAAACCACTAGTTGAAGGGCTGTGAGTTTCTGAGGACACAGTTAGTTGAAGAAACAAGATAAACCCTCTATAGGAGTGGGCTCATTACTGAATTTATTTAGTTTGTAACACAAGAGGCATCTATTAGGGTCAGTTTGCTACTATGATTTTACCATATACCTTAAACTTAGTGATGACCGTGATGAAGACGTTGCTACTGATGGTGAGGAGAAAACCTTATCAGGTTTTTAATCCTCCACATTTTAGGGAAACAACAAAGTGAACAACATACTAATACACCCACTGTAGCTTAAAAGACATTTATAATCATGTGCCAACCACATAGGTTGCAGTGGTTGCAAATAATGATGTTCCTTTGACAGTAGCCTATACAGCTATACAGAAACAGTTCATGTAAGCTGACCCTATTGTGAGCATCTGTATGAGCATTCCTCATGAAGTCTGTTAATGCCATTGATAAGACGCAATCTGTAGGATTTAATTTAATCTTGGTGCAAATCCTGCCAGCTGTCGCCAATTGATGTTTTTACTTGTGAAGCACTCAAAGTTCCTGCAAAGACGTCAAAGACCCAAAAAAACACAGCAGTCCCAAAAACCCATACATGGAAAATGCAGACTGGGGAATGCTTAAGTCAAAGAGTGAGTGGAGTAAGTGTTCCAAAAGGAGGAAGTGATAGCTGAAAGGTTACTTTTTATTCTCAGAAGATGATAGAGCTCGGATTTGACACCTTTGATGTAGAATTAAATTTAATTTCTAGTTTTTTTAGGATATTAATAGTGACTGCTGGTAGCCAAAGCTTAAAAAAAATTAAAATTTAGCACATGTCAAACATGACACTTTTATCACAAGATTGATCACCAAGGAGAGAGTTCAAAATATGAGGTGCAGCAGAATACTTATGCAAAACTTTATTGAAATTCATGATGTTTTGATGAAACACTCCATTCTATGTATGATACTCATTCAGAAACTATGATACTAAAAAAGTTTTTATCAGATTCTTAACATACACTGCTATGTTTACAGACAAATTCAACAATGTTCTCTCAATAATTTGTAAAGACAATAAGCATTGTTATATGATGGGAGACTTAAACCCAGACCTTCTCCAATACAATCATCATGTTCCAACTGTAACCTTTAAACGTTACTAGTGTAGCGGAGAAGACGATCCAAATGCACAATATAAATCACGGTTTAATCAAATGGAGTATGTAATGAAAATTACAAATGAAAATAGGGAAATCGGTGTGAAATCATAGATGAAGAGGTAGCTGTTGTTGTAGCTGAATTTGTGTGATTCGAACTTAAAGAAAATGCAGCAGAAATTAAACTAAGAAAATATCCCTGAGGAATGTAACACCAGCCTAATTAACAATGAAGCGATTATAAAGTGAACTGAAAGCATCTAAAATGTGAAATAAAGAACAACTTACTTTGGTCTAACTTCTAATGATTGCAGATAAATCACCAATAGGGGATTGTACATGAATAGCAGACAAAATTGGTGGTGTTGACAGAAACTTATAGTGATGAAATATGAAATATAATATCTGGTACATGTGCTTAAATAAAACTGATTGAAATAGAAATCATTAACCAACAAAGAAATAATAAACAGGAACAAACACAACAGAAAAGTACACAAGTTACACGTTTCAAAACTAACACTAACACAGGAATTTATCGACAGCTTATTTTCACACACCTTTCTTCCTCTCATCTCCAATCCAACACACCTCACCTCATCCTCTGCGACAGTAATTGACAACATATTCACCAACAACCTTGCCCATTACTATATATGATTTATCTGACCACTTACCCGTTTTTTTGCCTAGGGCCAGGCCTTGGCCGTGGCTGTAGGCACTATGCTATCGTCGTTTGTGTAAACGATAGAAATTAGGAATCTATCCAGTCAGAAAAAAGAAATCTCCTAAACCAATGCAGCAAACTGGTTAAACCGGTTTGACAACTTTGGACATCATTGTACATCAAATGACATCGCTGCTTATTTCTTTTGGTAAGTATGTTTTATTTTGCCTAATATTAAAGTCAGAGATGATTTGCAACAGCTTTCGGTCAGTGTTTCTGAATAGCCTTCTAGAAAAGGCGTTGCTTCCGGCTTGTGCTTTA